TTAATTATATCTCAGCCAGGATGATCTATGGTCTGTTCCAAGACTTGGGTTGTGGTGCATGACCATTAATGTGATAAAAAAAAAAGTCACTTTACACAAAGTGTTATTGAAGTCTTATAGGCAAACAAATACCCTTTTAAAACAATCTATGTCTTTATTTTTAGCTACATACCGGTTCGCACATATAAGTGTATACACATATTTTGGCTCATTTCAATCAAGAAATATGGCTTTCAATACACACATAGGTATTTCCATTCTTATTGGTAAAAAAGTAGCCATTAAGAAGTCAAAACACCAAAAGCCAAACAAGGTTTACTCAATGCAAGCACATAACCTATGTGATCAACTGAGCAAGTTGTCCTTAGTGTTTCTATATACATTTCTTGACAAATTTCTCATGAGTTTATTGAAAACTATGTACATCATGTTCATTGATCAGGTTTTAGTGCTAAAAAGGACAGTACAGAATCCAAAACAGCTTTAGCTTAATGAAGCAGTTTTGATTTGTAGATTATGCCCCTGCAGTCTCACTGTTGAATTATCTGCTGTTCAGGAGTTAAATCAATTTGTTTTTACAGCCCTAGGAACACCCCCTGCATGTGATTTACACCATCTACCTAAACACTTCCTGTAAAGTGAGATCTAATGTTTAAACTTCCTTTATTGCACAGTCTGTTTAATGTGGAATTTCTTATCTCCTGCACTGTTTATATTTTGCTAGACCTTGCAGAAGCCTCCTGCGTGTAATTATAGTTCAATTTACAAAGCAGGAGATAAATGCGTCTAAAGTAAATGAACATCTGATTGAAAATGTAATCATTTTTTTCATGCTGCTGTGTGACTTACAATCAGGGGAGGTGTGGCTAGGGCTGCGTTAACAGAAGCAAAAGTGATTTAACTCCTAAATGGCAGTGAATTGAGCAGTGAAACTTAAGAGGCATGATCTATTTCCAAAACTGTTTCATTAAGCTAAAATTGTTTTGGTGACTATAGTGTCCCTTTAACCCCCTAAGGACACATGGCATGTGTGACATGTCATGATTCCCTTTTATTCCAGAAGTTTGGTCCTTAAGGGGTTAAATATACAATAAATGTATTTTTTTGCAGAAGGCTATAGCGGTTATGCTGCTTGTGATTCAACACTGCGTTGTGATGAGTTTAATTCACTTTGGCAAAACCTCATCTATCAGTAACTCACCACAACTCGCTTTTTAATGAATAAACCCCAATATTGGTTTCTAAAAATTCCCTTATTTTTTTATTTACTTTTTTTTTTTTTTTACATAGTAGCATTTTACATTTCTAACCCCTTAAGAACAAGGGTATAGACAAATCCTATGATGTCATGATGGTCATGTGAAAGCTGTGTGTGATGAAGGGGTTAGAGATCTTTATAAATCTTAATTCACATTATTTGCAAGGGTGCTGTTTTCCAGGACTTGCATTACGTAAAGCTCAGCTCAGGAGGAGTAACTGAATATATTAATGTAGGGGAACACATTAAATCATCTTTGAGGTTGATAGTTAACTGTATAACTAGGAATGAGTATTAGTCATTTTCCAACTTCACGCATTGCTGAGCACAGCACTGAAGATGAGTTATGCAGAATATTTGATATGTTGACCTGTGATGCAATTCTAACAGGTTCTATTGGTCAAGATTCGAGAAAGCTAATCCTTCCAAATGCTGACAAATTACTGCCCTGGGCCATTTAAAATCACGTTTCTAATACAATAATCCTATGTGCATTACAATGAATCAGGGCGAGATGATTAGGTGCAGGAAATGTTTGCATAGTGAATCAAGGCTCAATGCAAACTGGCTATCCTCACACACATATTAATGTTTAAACACATATAAATCCTATCAGCTGCCCTGTTTATTTGATCTGATTATTCTGTACTCAGTTTAAAAATAATAAACATAATTTTAAAGTCCAATAATAATGCATAAGTGCAAATGCAGATGCCAGTTGTAACATCTCATACTATAATGGGTTACGCTATTAAAATTATTTTTTTCCCAACACATTAAGAATTATTTTAACTTAAAAACACAAACAGTATGCTGGCTTCCACTGCATTGGATTGGTGGGTCACATTGATTGTTCTGCATGCAATATGTGTTCAATGCTTTTTTTTTTTTTAAACATTTGATTGGACAAAAATGATCAGTCTTCACTCAAAGAGGATCAGTGAAGTGTTCATATCAGCTCTGGAATAAAGGTAAGTTTAAAGGCTTTTTTTTTTTTTTTGGCATTCTGATTATATTAAAAAAAAAATTTTTAAACCCGAGAAGGGACATATTTAATAAAATTCCTTTTTTCTAATTAGAATGTTCCATTAAGCACTAAAATTATAATTGTACCTTAGATTGTGAAAAAAAAAATTTTGTTCCTGTTATTTCTAATACACTTTTAAGTACTATATGTATAGTTTGTTTTCAAAATCTAATAACAAAACAAGTAATGGCACATTCAAAATCCATCTGCATATAGCAAACAGCTTGCTGCAAACAATAGACTATATTCTATGATAAGAAATGTGCTTGTAACTGAAAATGTTTTGTAACTGGAAAGCATTTTGCAATAGATTTCAATAGGAATTAGCTATTCAGTTACCAGGGTTACATTTACCTCAAAATATATAGAATCTTGTCACCTAAGTCATAGTTTTATTCCAGTTCTTCTAATATTATTACATTTGGCCTTCTTTGCCACTTATTTCTGTTGGTTCAAGACTGAGTTAAAACATGTTTTATCTCTAACAAAAATAAAATACACAGATAATTATTATAACACATAAATAAATAATTTATTTAACAATGTATCTGTTAAAGTGGTCCTGATATCATAAGTGTAATTTTACAACAACTTTTGAAGTAACTTCTGAAGTACACACAAATAAATGTCCTAATATTAAATCTATCTGTTGTTATAATGGAATAATCTGTGTGAATTTGGGCCAATCTGAACAATTTCAACCCAACATAATAGTACTCTTGATACTGGCTGGCATTTAAAGGACCAACATAGTGCCAGGCACTATAGTGCCCTGAGGGTGCCCCCACCCTAGGGGCCCCCCTCCAGCCTGGCTCTAGGGGGTGTAAGGGGTTAAACTTAACTCCAGCGCTGGGTGGGGAGCTCTCCTCCTCCTCTCCGCCTCCTCTCCACCTCCACCTCCTCTCCTCCTACTCGGTTGAATGCGCATGCGCGGCAAGAGCCGCGTGCGCATTCAGCCAGTCCATAAGAAAGCATTCTTTATGCTTTCCTATGGATGCTGGCGTCTTCTCACTGTGATTTTCACAGTGAGAAGCGCGGAAGCGCCTCTAGCGGCTGTCAATGAGACAGCCACTAGAGGCTGGATTAACCCTAATATAAACTCTCTGAAACTGCTATGTTTATAGAAAAAAGGGTTAACCTTAGCTGGACCTGGCACCCAGACCAGTTCATTAAGCTGAAGTGGTCTGGGTGCCTATAGTGGTCCTTTAATGAATTCTCTTTAACAGGCAGCTTAGGCTTCGACTTAATATTTTTGGATATGTTTTTAAAATGATTTCATATTTTGAATAAACTTTTAAAATAATTTTTTCAAAATATTACAATATCAAAAGTATATTGTATATAAAAAAGTATTAAAAAATTGCATAGTTGAGAAGGTTAGAGGCAGCATTAGCAGAGAGAGTGGAAGTGACATTGAGCAAAACCTCACACATCAAAAAAGCCATAAAATAAACAATAAAACAATGCCCAGGATGCGTCCCATGTTTATTTGAACGTGTGTGATCTCACATGGATTCTCTACACTGGGCCTTCAGTTGGACAGCCTTTCTGAATTCTTTATCTTCCCAAATATAGAATTTATACAGAATGAGATAAAACATAAATATGTGCAGGTAGCTACTGTGCTTACTGTCTGTTCTGGTTTTCACTGTCTATGCAGAACTATATAAAATGATGCACTTAATTCAAACCTTGGAGCACATGTGATTTCAGATATGCTGGTGGAGTCCATATCTGAAGATTGTATGTATGTAGGGTCCCTGAAGAATCATTCTAACAAATGACAGAAATTAGTTCAAATAAATTGATGCAATTGATAGAAATGCTGGAAGTTATATACTACCCTCTACAATCAATAATGTATTTTACTACATTATGTATACACTGATTCATTTGTTCCATCATATTATTGATTTTTTCCCCCCTCCTTCTAGTGTGATGCTCTATTTGACATTTATATGGCTGCTGTGAAACGCAACGTAAGACATTATTGCTCCATTTTTCAGAGGATAAATTTTAAAACCATTCCAAAAACAAGCTAACTTATTAGAATATTAAACAATACATTTTAAAACCTTCTTAATGCTAGATAGATACACAGCGCCACAATCAAAAGGTGTAATCGCATCCCAGATATGCAGCATAGGATTTCAGTAATATGTTTCCATACTATGTTTCGATTAAAAGAGGTTTTATTCATTGAGCAGAAAATTAGAGTGAATCGAAAACTCAAACTGCAAAATTTAAAACTAAATAGCTGATCTAGAAAAATTATCCAACTTAGTCACAGTTTAGCTATTTTATCTTAAATTTTACAATTTGGCTAACAATTCACTACAGTTTAGATTTTACTGAATAAACGCTGTTAATAGACAGAAAGGAGTTAATACATTTACCAACTGAACTTAGACCCAGAAGTTAATCTCAAATGTAAGTATTGTTGAATATCTGTATACTGCTTAATCTGCAAAACCTTTGAAGTTGAACAGTAAATATTACAGTTTGATAAAACTAGACCTGTATAAGGAAACATTTGCATTGCAAACTGACAACAATTTCCCTACCCAGTTGGTGTATGTTGCTATGTGCCTGCCAAGTGCCTCTAGAAACAGGACAAAGAATGCTGATTAAGAAGTGGAGAATGTCACAGAGACAGAGAACCTGTAGGACAATGTTAACCATGCCCAGCTACTGTTCATCTTTTCAAGATTTAAGCAATAAATGTATTGGATTTATATGATGGTGGCTGAACTATAGTGCTGGGATAATGTAACTCAATAAGTTCTTTGTTATTTCTATCCATATTTATCTGTGTTAGCATGCGTCTGGTGTGTATGTGTGTGTCGGCTGGGTCTTGGTGATGTCAAACACGATAAGACATGATAAGCCATTATGCAATCTCGGGTTTGCCTAGTAATGTGTGTAGGCAAGACAACTCTATAGTAAGCTCTAGTCTCCAGTGTTCCTTCATTGTTCTCAGTAGTAAGTACCTTTTCAGGTATATAAGAACTGTATGTTCTATTTTTCACTGGGAAGTTAACTAGCAATTATAAACAGGGGGCTGTATACGACACAGTAGCCATGCATAGGAAGACATAAACAGTTGCAAACAGTCCCCCTACACAAAGTGTGGTTAAAATACAATTGTAGGGCAGGTGTTTTCTTTGATCAATTCTCTCCTCACTGTATTGTTAAGTACAAATCCCTAAGTATCTCACACTCTTGAAATTCATTGGAAATCCTTCTATCGTACCTTTTTCGCTACTCTTTTTGTTTCTAGTTCCCCCTACCCTCTCAGTTATACCCAATTACACAAGATATGACAATTGTGCCAAACAACATTTCTTTATTTATTTAACAGTTATTATATAGCACTTTTATTCAGAGCATTATAAAATTTATGGAAAACAGCTATTTACATATTCATACTCTATTATCACTCTTACTCTGTTGTTCGGGAAATTCAGTATCTTGTGTGTAATATTATTGTAATGATTGCTCAATTCATACATAGTACTTCATTCCGAACGTGTATTATCGATACTGCTCTGTGTTGCCCTGAATATTTTTCACTAAGCTTTAACATTTAAATTTAACATGATTCTGAAAATTCTAAATTAAAAAATAAATAAAAATAGATGAAATTGTGGAGCCCCTCTATAAACTTTGTTCAGTAGGCAGCACCCAACACTGATCATCAGGCCTGCTCCAATTCAAATACCTTTTTGGAAAATAAAAACTCACTATCATGGAGATCTAGTACTAATGGAACCCAAATCATGTGCTAGAACCATCTGAGAACTTTCCAAGTGGTTCTACAAATCAGGCTGACTTGGTTTGGAGATCCATGAAGTCAAAGTGCCTAAAGTATGAATTTTATCAGAACCGAAGAGCCTCTTGAATTCCTATTTTATTATTATGAAACAAGGGGGGGTTGGCTGCACTCACCTGAACATGCATAAATGGGGGTGCTGCTGGGGGCCAAATTATACAATTCACAAGATCCAGCGCACTCACCTATCCACTAAACGGCAACTTCAATGTTGAAAGATTTTATTTGTTTTTTTTAAAAACCCAGTTACTTGGGGAAAATAACCTATCTGGGGCTCTCTGCAGTACAAGGCTAAGTAGGGCCCTGGGATGAGGCACCTGTGACAAGGAGGGGTGCAAAACCAAGGAGTTGGCTGTCACAGGTGACTCATCCCAGGGCCCTATTTAGCCTTGTACTGCAGAGAGCCCCAGATGGAATTTATTCCCCAAGTAAGTGGGTTAATCTCATAAGAGCAGACATTAGGCTGTTAGTGTAGGACCTGCCAAAGATGGGGTACATTGACGTTGTGGCAGGCTTATGCAATGTATGATCATATAATGTAACTAAACCCCCATTATTTTTGCCTAGATTAGGTGTTTTTAAAAAAACAAATTAAATCTTTCAACATTGAAGTTGCTGTTTAGAGGATAAGTGAGTGCGCTGGATCTTGTCTATTTTATTATTAATAGTATTTTATTTATTTTCTGGAGTGAAACTTACAGAATATAACTTTAAGAAAACACATACCCTATGCTAATCTCTCACTTTCATCTTTCACATAGATCATACCCTTTAACAGCAGTGTCCAGTGAAGCAGGATTTCGGTGGGCGGTGTAAAAGGGTGGGCCACTGATATGAAACATGTAACCAGAGCGGCCCAAAGGGGCAAACATGCCCAAAAAGGGAGCGGGTCTGCCTAAAGAACTGCAAGGCCAGCCTGGTATGAATGCATTTCAGGCTACTTGCCAATCATGCAGGCTGGTCAACTAAGGGCATGCTATGCAGACAGCACCTTGAGCTTGACATAAATGCGTCTATTGATGCAATCGCTCTGTGCTTTCTAAGGACTGTTGCCCTACCACACACTTTTACACTCCTCTCATTACCTTCTTACTAGCAGGCAGAAGCTCCTGGTATATAGTCTGGGACAGAGACAAGGTGTATATAGTGAGTGTAGAAGAAAGGGAACATGACACAGTGTTAGACAGACTGATGCAGCAAGAGTATTTGCATAGTGTGCAAAGTCAGCTTTACCTTAACTAATTTCGTTGTCAGCCAGTCCACACATGTTTTGTTCCTCTACATCCCTCTTAAGTTTCATTACTTAAGCAAGAGCATAGGAAGAGTAGTTGAATCAATGAGCCTATTCCATGGGCATGGGCCTGGAGCTGCAGCTCCATCAGCCTCTATGTTAATCTAGCCCTGTATGGTCTATGTATATTGTACTCTTCTTCCCTCAATCGTACAGCGCTGTGAATTATGTTGGCGCTTTATAAATACTAGTAATAATAATGTAGTGTTAGTGTAGTGTTGGTTTTAATGTGTAATCTATGGTTTAATAATAGTGTGTTGGTATAATATAAGGGTTAATGTTTAGTGTAGTATGCTAGGGAAATGTAGGTGTTCAATTGCCTTAAGATATTTAGTGCTGCTGAAATTATTGGCAGTATAGAATTTATTTGAAATAAATTTTCAATGGCAGTACAGCATTGATGGACCAAGTGTCAGTACTTTTGTTCACATAACGTGTGGACATTCACCAAGAAAAGTTGTAGTGTGTGGAGTCTATACATTATATTGCTAATTGATCAATTAAATTATATTTTATAGTGAATTTAACATTACAGTGTTGTTACGGCTTCCTAGAAATGCTAATGGCTACAAATTTTTACTTTTCTTTTTTTAAATTGTAAAATACTTTTATTGTATAACAACTTCTAAAAGTCACAGGGCTGCATTTATGTGAAATACAGAAAGAATTTGTAATGCTAGATTGTGTCCTAATATGGCAGTTTAAATAGAAATGGAACAAATGATAAAATCATGATACTGTGCCCTCTGTTATCACATGCGCTGGTTTGTTTCCCTTTGCCATAACTGCTTTTAAGGTACATTCCTCAAACCTAGTGAGCCAAAGCAGAGAAAAGAATCCATATAAGTCCTTAATGCTTACATGCTATTGCAGGAGGGATTACAAAATACAGACTTAACTTATTGATGAAGACTGAGGTGACATGTTGTTGAAAGATGAAGACACAAGAAGTGTTTCTATTAACACAATAGGATATGTTTGGTAAAAGAAAAATCAAACCGGAGATGTCAGTGCAGCTCATCTTTACCTTTATGTGAAAACGTATCCTTTTCAGAACAGAGAAATGTGCAAACTAAATGGAATTGTTCAATAAAATGTATGTAAAAAGGATGAGCAGTGCTTAACATTCTATCTATGCATTCCACAGCTTAAAAAAGAAAAAACAAAGAAAAAAGTGGTTTTGCCTTGACGTGGCAGGTGAGCTTACACTTTAAAGGTCATTGGAGTGGTACTGAAAAACCTCCAGTTATTTAAATGTGCATAAGAATTTGGGATAGTGCGTCAATAAAATGTTTACAATTTTTTTTCAATATATGCATTGGGGTTGACGTGTATTATAGTCATTGCTATAAGTCATTGCTAAAGTTTGGAACAATAATATACTAACAACATTTAGTTTAGGACAATAAAAAGCAAATAAATAATAATCATCATCATCGTCATAAAAATAGTAGTAAAATTCCTTCTAGTTTTCCAACAATATGTTGCAACCGTAGGGTTCATTTATTCTCTATAACCTAAGAAAGTACTTTAGCATGGCCACCTTGTCCCACAGACCATCTATAGCGTAATCATGGCATTCTTTCCTCATGCTTCAAAAGGTGTTTTGTCTTTTAATTCCCCTTTATTAAGTGAATTTGCATATAAATAATATGTTAGGTTCTAACTTACATGTGAAGAAAAGGCAATTAATACAATGAAGACAAGAGTTAAAAAGTAGATTCATCTAGGGAAATTTGGCGTCAATAAATAAATGTTCAGAGGGCACAAAGGGTTCATTCATGTACTACACAGTTTTCAAAATGTGATGACCAAAAAAAGAATGACACCAGTGCAATCATACGGTCGTCCCTGATTCTGCACAGGTATTGCACTCACTGAAATCTGCGCCTCCGGTGCACACCTGCAATTCTGTAGGATTCAGGAATGCAGACAGACACACCTGGTTTAATGGAAGAAACTTTGTGTACAAAAATGGTGAGTCTTATTTATTCCTACTTCTGATCAGCTCATCAAGGAGAAATGCAGTTCTACTAACCCTACCTTGCATTGCCAGATATGCCCAGGAGCTAAAGCTAGTTATTTTCTAGGTAAAATAATGCCGCTCCCAAGACTGTAAGAAGAACTACTGTAAAGTAACAGACACGCATGGGACATCTCACAATCTGTATTAATGACATAAAAATACGAAAATACAGCTGCATTTACAGGTGTATAGCCTGCTGCTATGATTTTAGAAATACTACAAAACGCTACCCTATGCATTAAAGGGTTACTCCAAGCACCATAACCACTTTAGTGGTTTTAAATGGTCATGTTTCCTGTGTTTAAATGTATCCTTTTCAGAGAAATCTGCAAACTAAATGGAATTGTTCAGTAAAATGTATGTAAAAAGGATGAGTAGTGTCTAATATTCTATCTACAGCTCAAAAATAATCAAAGAAAAACCAAAGAAAAAAGAGGTTTTGCCTTGATGTGGCAGGTGAGCTTACACTTTAAAGGTCATTGGAGTGATACTAAAAAAACCTTCAGTTATTTAAATGTGCATAAGAATTTGGGATAGTGTGTCAATAAAATTTGTATTATTATTTTTTTTACTTATGTATTGGGGTTGACATGTATTGCATTTATATAATACCATTTATATAATAGAATACTTTTTTTTGTAATTGTCAATACCTTTGACCCTCCTTGGTATATTATTTCTACTCATTACAGTGGGTCATACACTGGGTTGGCTAAGATCCATGAGAGTTTTAACTAGTATTTCTACTTGCTTTAAAAAAAAAAAGCAATCTACACTTATTTCTATCCTTGCGAGTAAATAAATAGAAGGAGCTTCAAGAAGAGATGTGGCCTCCTTTATTGGTTAGAAGTAGAACCTAACTAAAACCAGGTGTCCTTATTGGCTTTTTTAATTGTGAGTTTGGAAAATGAGTGTGCATATAAAATACACTGAGTTGTATCCAGTCTATAATAATGCGTTGCCTTCTTTCTATTTCTATGTTGATTTAAATCTGTATTATATAGACCCTATTGAGTTAACCACATATTATTCTTTGTTCTTCACCTTTTATTTAAAATAAAGTTGTAATTTGTGTGTCTTTAAGAACTAAACCCTCGACTTATTAGAAGTGAGCATTCAAAAATGTTAGTGTTGAAAATAACATTGACTAGTGTCCATATCTAATCAGGTGTGCCTGCATAGAAAATACTCCAAGCGAGTTGAAAAATTCCCATAGAGAAACATAGAACTAGTGCCAGGGGAATGGTATCAATTATATAGACTTTTAGCTGTTTCGTGTTTACCACTTTCACAGGTAGTGATAGGGAGTTACCAAATGCTGCTAACAGCTCCCATTGTTCTCTATTTGATTGGTTCCAACCCCATCATTACTTTTTCTGGCTGAGCCTCCAAACTGACCAATTGATTCTCTTTTACCCATTGATGAGCATAGAGCAGCTCTGGTCTATCTAATATTGTGCATACTTTAAAGGCTTAATGCCAGGAAATGTATTACACTGGATGTGTACATTTATACTACTTTCTTGCCTGAATCAGACTAGATATTTCAAAATAATTACAAGCAAAACAGGGTTGTAGAAGCATTTTTTTTTAAACTTGGTTTCTAAATTCAGAATCATCTTCTCATATTTCACAAAATCTTTACCTAACATTTGTACGTGGCGGTAACTGGCATGTATATGTAGCCTGAAGAGTTTCAGACTGCTAATTTCACTAATACTCTCACTTATAATTACAAACCTCCGTAATTCACACTTTATGGAGCCTCTTCTACAGAGTCAGAGTCTTTGAAGCTCGATTTATGGCCCTCTGGACCTTTATGGGTTGGCAATTTCAAAATGTCCTTTCACCAAATAATCAAGGAGTGTAAGGTTGAGAAAATATGGATACTTATGGGGAAAAAATGGAAAACTTATGGCAAATATGGAAAATTCTCTGCAGGTGAAATAAGATATTAAGAAGATATATATATATATATATATATATATATATATATATATACATATGTATATATATATATATTTTTTATTTTTTATTTTTTTTTTTACTAGATAAAATGATGCATCCATCTCTGAATTAGATCTGATTAACAATTTAAATATGTTTATTTCAGGAGCTATTGATTTCAACATGCACCACTGCAGAATTCTAATAGTCATTAAATTATTTTAACTGAAGTCACCATTTCTATTTCCCAATTTCCCACCACTAACTTTTAATTCTTATTTAGATGTCAAAGCACTTACATAATAACCAAAAACCTGAAATACTTATTAATTAATATTAATATTTTATTGTATTGTAATTGTGCAATAATAATGGTATTGTTCAAGAACTCAAGGAACTGCTAGTATCTTCTTCTCAGGTACTATGATAGCACATTTCTGACTACTTTATTACAAATGTACATTGCATTGTACAGTTTACCCTACTGACTAACGAAGCAATGAATATTTTAGATATCAAAATACTTTTAATGTTCCTGTCACCAAGATATTCAGCACAAATAAATATCACGGTGTCTATTCAGTTACACATATTTATGAGGCATACATCTGAAACAAACATATACAAAAATATAGGAAGCCTCAACCTCAAAGACTAAAGCATATAGTAAAAGTAGAATTATAATACTTCTACAAAGCACTGTAACATCAACTAATAACATATACAAAAATGTGTTGTTTTTTGATGATCCCTCCTTATAATGTCCTCAAAAATATACACAGTGTATTATTTCTTGCTATCATAATCATTGACAATGTTAATGCTAATAACACACTTTCACTTTTCTTGCTCTCACCTTGCTGGAGTGTGGCCCTGGTAGCAGAAGTTTCAGAGCCTGTCTCTTCAACTCCACCAACCGTGCATTGCAGTTTTCGCACCATACACCCCTGTCAGATCCAGGAGATGATCCTCCTCCACTTCCAGAGCCAGGAGAACCTGTGCCAAATCCTGGAGATCCTCCAAGAGATCCTGGAGAGCTGTTGCCAATTCCAGGAGATGCAGGCCCAGGAGAACCAGAGAAAGAACCAGGTGAGGAGGTGCCAGAACCGGGTGAGGGTGTTCCTGATGAACCTGGGATGGACCCTGCACCTTCAGGTGCTGGTCTGCTACCGGCCCGAGACTCCTCATAAGCTTTTCTATACCAGCTTTCTGGAGAAAAGGGTGCTGATGATTTTGTGGGGGAGCAGACCTCATTAATCTGGAATAAATAAAAATGAAAAAATGAAGAATGTCAGTAACATAAAACATCTCCATTTATTCTCGGAAGTAAATGTAATTTCTATTTATTTCTATTAATTGTAAAGCAAATCACAGTTAATACTATTTGATTAACATTTTTATTTTCAATACATCAAATATATTATTTAAATCTACAACTTGGGTAGACTCACACAGGGAAATGAGTGGATAGTAAGTACCCAGATCACTGTGCAGAGTAGGAAATTACCAAAATTGATTTATGATTGGGTCAAGTTTAATTAAAGAATTATAATTAGGAATGCACTCAAAATCTCTTATAAAAAATGATGCCATGCAGTTGCACCTAGGGTAATACCAATGAAAACCGGTACTCATACATGAGCACCAGGATAAAACAACCACAACCATGTAAATATTTACATAGGATCAAAAGAAAAATAGTAAAAAATAGTATCACACTATAACCACTTCAATGAGGTGTAGCAGTTACAGTGCCTATAATCAGATACATAGGGCACATGTCACTGGGTACCGGTTCAGAGGGGTGTCAGCCAGCCGTGCAAATTGGAACAGAACTGCGAGGGAGCATTAAAGAGTTTGCGTCACCCTCGCAGTACTTGGTGATGCAGCTCACAATATATAGTTATTCAGTGATAGATGGAGGCTGCAATGGCCTCTATTTATCTCTGTTTTACATTAACCAACTGTCTCCCTTTCCCAGCTACCAGGCTTCTCAAATTGTGGAGGAGTGAATAGACAGTGTGTTCCTCCTTCCGCCAGACTCGGTGACCATGAATGAGTCATGCAGCCAGAGTATGGCTTTGATTCATTTTTACACTCACCGCATCCAGGGTACTGGGCAGTACAATATCTCTTCTCTCCTAAAGGTGCTGCTCTAGAATGGCCTTTATATTTACATATATGTGCTTTCAGTGTGTGTCTGTGAGTATGTGTATGGGTCAGTGAATGTGTGTTAGTTTGTGTGCCTGATTGTGTGTATGGCTAAGTGAATGTGTGTAGGGGTCAGTGAATCTTTGTCAGTCTATGTGTCTGTAAGTGTGTTTGAGTCACCGAATATGTGTCAGTTTGTGTGCGCTACTGTGTGTATTGGTCAGTGCATCTGTGTCAGTTTGTGTGTCTGTGTGTGTATGGGTAACCGAATGTGTGTCAGTTTGTGTGTCATACTGTGTGTTTGGGTCAGAAAATCTGTGTCAGTTTGTGTGTCTGTGAGTGAGTGTGTGAATGGGTCAGTGAATCTGTGTCAGTTTTTGTGTCTGTATGGGTCAGTGAATGTGTAATAGTTTGTGTGTCTTATTCTGTGTATGTGTCAGTGAATGTGTGTTTGTGTGTCTTATTCTGTGTATGTGTCAGTGAATGTGTGTCAGTTTGTGTGTCTGTGACTGGGTATGGGTCAGTGAATGAATGTGTGTGTGTGTGTGTGTGTTTGTTTGTTCATCTTAAAGTGTAGTGTGTAAGGGTCAGTGAATGTGTGTTAGTTTGTGTGTTTTTGAGTATGTGTATAGGTCAGTGAATCTATGTCAGTTTGTTTTTTTGTATGTGTGTGTGTGTGTGTGTGTGTGTGTGTATGGATCAGTGAATGTGTGTCAGTTGTGTGTAAATGTTCCCACTATAAACATGATCACGAGTAAATCCCTAGCACAAATATCTGTCCTCTGATTTACTTTCATCAAAATGAATCAAACTGGGGATCTAACAGGAAAGTGCCCCGAATAATTTTTCTTATGTATTATTTATCATGTTCCTTAGGAAGTGTCATCTACATATGATGAAACAAGCTTAGGGCTTTTTTTTTCATTGCACCTTATTCATCAGCTGTGTTCTACCTCTAAGACTAATATTGACAGCCACATTGGTGATGCACAATTCATTATTTCCATATCTACAAACTTATAATGTGGACTCAGAGCAGACCTTATTGAAGAGAAACATGTTTACTTCCTAATATTTGAGCCATATTGTTTTTATAAAGGCTGGTTGTTGTTTATCATTTCATTGGATTCTATTCCTATTCATTGCTAAGCAGAGCTTCTCGAAGAATCAAGGAAGGAAAGAATGAGACACAAAAGGTAGTGATCTCAATTTTTCAGATAAGGGTTTGCTATAAGAGTTTACTGATATTCCAACAGGGATGTTGATCAAGCATGAATAGAAAGGTGTCTTTATTTTGGAATATTACTCTGGAATTAATATACTTATGAATTCCACATTCCAAGTCCCACTCACAAACAGACGACTATACGAGCTATATGGCACCATTACATGACACTTGCAATGTCTATATCGGTCTCCCCTCTGCTGCTTGGATCTACAATCCACATCAGACAATTAACACACAATGTCATATGCACTAGCTGACAGTAACACTTTATTAACACTAGTGGTAATGGCTCCGAAACACAGAGAAATTCAGATAGTATTTTGGGTGATACATTTAGTACTAATAACTGTAAACTTGCATGTATCTGCACAAGGTAATTATGATATCAAATTAATTATCACTAATTGAGCCTGGCAAGCCGTAGACTATTTCCGCCTGAACAAAAGCCTTGCTGTAAGATGCCTTATTAAAAATCTATTGCATTTATTTAGTCCATGTATGTTTATAGACTTTGATAGATTGAAGACCCATCCCTGACATATTGTGCTTGCACTATATTATATATTTTTTTTAACAGAATAACATACTATTTATAGAACAGCAGCACCATATGGTGACCAGGTTATACACTAGAGAGAGATAACTATGTAGGGGTGTGCGTGCATGTGTGTACGTGAGCGTCATATAGTGACCAGGTTACAGTATACATTACAGGGAGAGGTGTATGTGTGCATCATATATTGACCAGGTTATTAAATGCACTACAGAAAGGTGACTGTATGTGTGTGTGCTTATTTTTAAAATATGTATAATATAATTTAAGCTACACAATAGGTAGGTTCCTTTAGCATTAATTAAATTACATTTTATTTATTGTTATCCTGTGAATTGTCAGCTGAGCTTTCCCTTAGAGCAGATATATTGCTTTGCTATTGAAAATTTTAATATTTCCTGCACCATAGGATGAAATCCAACCCCCTACATTGAATATGTGAATATGTGGTAAAGATACTTGTATCTGAACATCACATAGGAACATATTGGCAAGCTGGTGGTTTCTGGCTGCTATATAGGGAAATGGCACGGATTCATAGGAAGATCTAAACATTATTTGTAAAATGTTCGAATTGACACCATTGCCTTGTACTGGTATCTGGATGACTTTCCTATCTTGAAATGAAAACTGTAACACATGTCATTGATTTATTTTTTCGTTTGAAGGTAAAGCAAGACGTAGCTTAACAAAGACATTCTACCTATGTATTTCAGGAGTACAAAAACCTATGTATTTCAGGAGTACAAAGAGTTACGGGCCCTTAAGAAATCACCAAATTAAAAACAGATTATGTGTAAGTGTTACAACGTACATCTTTAGAAAAATAATACAAATAAATAACAAAACCCATATTTGCAAAGGCAGTCATGAAGGAAATGTGTGTAGAGCAATTATGCCTAAGATTATAACCACAGATGTTAGTGAAGTACATTTCCACAATTAACCTTTATGTTGATTTTGGCATTATGGGAAATGTAGTTGATAAGTATCTGAGGTACCAAGGTTTGCCCTCTCTGGTTCAGGGAGAAATTCCTGAAGACACACATCATCTAAGTTCAAGTTCTTAGCAAATGTTATTGGTTTACATATAAAGCAATTCGTTTTTTTTTTAAACTAACCTTTAGTACATAACATGATTTTATATAACAATCATTTAAAACATAAATTTATTGCTTTAAATTCCAACATGTCAAAACACACATACACATACATATACCATAACTTCACTCTGATTTTTTTTTTAGATCAAAAATAATAATCCTGTTTTGACGTAGTAAACTTAATCATCACACTTGTCAGTGTATATTTAGTTACTCTATCTGTAGCCCAGAAAATATGGAGACTGTCTATCTATGTATTCCCTATTGGGCTGAGACCCATGTCTGATATTGCTGTCTGTGTTTCACACTGTGTTTCTGCAGATCTTATTCAATTGTATCTAGCATGGACTTGGCTAGGGAGAGATTGTCTCCTGTCATACATCATATGTAAGATGTGAGGAAATGTCAGCTTTAGATATGCTTGATATCTGCATAGCAGAGAACCAGCAATGTGTCCCTCTGAATCAGCTTGGTAGAGGACCTGAGAAACTGTATTGATGTTCTCCTGAATTTGCCCCTAGTTTCAAACCTGTGTAGCACAAATCATACACAAACCTTTATCTATCTATCTATCTATCTATCTATCTATCTCATAGATAGATAGCATATGTATAGAATTCATTAGAGAACAATAAAAATGTATATAAATAAATAAAATATATAAATCGATCAATGAATCTACCTTTCGCATAGATAAAAATAAAGATAGATTATAAAGAGAGAGAGAGAGCTAATACAGCTTTCTCTCCATATGTATCTGTGTCTCTCACAGTCTGTAAAACCATATAATATTTATGTATCTGTGTGTGTATTTCTCCCTACCTCTATATACAGAACAATCTACAACATCAAGGGAGACATTGGGCTTTCTATAAAAACATGTATAATGCATGTTTGTATGTATGTATGTCTGACTGTCTCACAGTCTGTCTGTTGGATGTGTATACAAATTGCTTACATGCATATATTAATCACTTCACATTTTACATGCCAAACCTGCTGACTTGCAAGTCTACTGACATTGCACAGACACCCCCCAGTATTAGCCACCACACTGTGTATTGTGACTGTGATATCTATCACACAGCTGTACTAAGAGAGAATACACCACAATACACATGAAGTGTTTATATAGGGGTAAACAGAAGTTCTAAGTAGAATTCAGATATTCTGTTGTTGTTTTTAATAAAAACGTGAAATACTGAGCTGGCATTTAAAAGCCTGTTTTCTTCCAGTGATTTGACAATACGATGTCTATGTATGGTTAGGTGACTGCATGCAGTGGTGAAATGCTGGCTGAGGGGGTATGTGCCATTGAAAATCATTTCCTTCAGTCACACTCTAATGCACCTCTATGAAGTTACAGTGATTCCTTACCCCATATTTCCTGGTCCTAGTTGTGACAGCAACCCTCTCTTTATTCCCCGCCACTGAGCTCATGGTGAGATGCTGGAGGAGACAACTTGCAGAAGGTATAGTTCACATCCAGTGTTTGACCCGGCTCCGGAGACAGCACTGATACAGCACAGATACAATGTGTCACAGGATTCTATTCACAGATCAATCCAGTCATCCTCTGTCACCAGTACCCGGGGACCTCTGATCACATCATCTCGGCGTCCTTGTCCACCTGTCTGTCAATCTGGCAAACGCGTGTCAGTCACAATTCCCAATTCATATCCATGGTTCACCTTCCACCCAGGACTATATCCCCAGCGCTTGGTTAAGTTAAAGAATCAATATATCCAAGCAGATCTGAAAAAACGGGGGATGCAGGGATTCACTCACATGCCCATTGTAGAGTCATTGTTTGTGTCTTGGAGTGTATAGAGGTAGAGAAATCCAATGTGTGTCTCTCTCCCCCAGACACTCTCTACCTCTGCTCCTGCATGTATGAGAATCACTGGATCCAGAGTCTGGGAGGAGCCAGCAAAATTCTTCCTTCTCTCAGCCTGTGCCTGGCAGGTCTCAAAGAGGAGGCTGTTAAAAATAAAAAGAACAAATCCACCTAGTTCTCCTAAGGAAACCCAGCTTCTCCTGCTCAGCCCCTGTTGGCTTGGAATGAATTGCAGGGAAGACTGTGTCTTCCTCAGCCCTCCCCCTCCCTGCTGCCCAGCGTTAGTAGTGAGGAGGGATGAGATTTGCTATTGCATGTGGTTATTACAGCACACACCTTGACTGACACTTACTGGAAGCATTTTTTTCCATGTTATAAAATCCAGTCTGTAGCCTATAGCTTTTACAAGTAGTTTTTTTTTTTTTTTTTTTTTTTTTCTGGTAAACCCAGCAGCGATTGTTTTTCCCAATTCACAAAATCCGATCCCTTTTTTCTCTTCTAGCTGAAGCTCGTTATTTTGCTCTGTGGAACATCCCATACTTGTTAGCTGGTCATAAAAGAGAAATATTAATGTATATTGGAATGCCGTGCCCTTTGATGCATGCTTTATTGAAAGGCTGGGTTCAGCTCTCCCTGTACATTACATGGGCTGCACAAAAATATCCCTATAACGCCCACGGTTACAGCTAAATCTGTCATAGACTCAGAGGCAGAAAATAATCAATTTGTTTCCAAATTAAATGTTTATTAACCTAACTTCATGCATTATTTTATATGAATTTTAACATTTCTGCGTTTTTTTGGTTTTTTGTTTTTTGTTTTTTTACATTTCCAGCAGTAAATGGGTTAAACCCTTGGACTTAAAAATGTAAAACAGATGCTGAAAGCACGTACATCAAACATGCTGCCAGGGTAGCCTTACATTGGACATATTTAGAGAACTCCAGTGGGGCACAATTAGAAGGAAAATGCATGATATTAATCAAAGGAAAGACATCTCAGGGTTTACTTTGATAAACATGAGCACTTATGTGGTGTAGGCTCATCAGCCAGCAATAAATAGAGCTAAATTTGTTCTATTAATATTAGTTTTATTAATAAAGTACATGCGTATTCCATGGCACTGTACAATGCATACTTTTAACAGACAGGTAAATGGTGAAAAATAATGGAACTATAACGTGTTTTTACACTAAACAGTGGATTGTGGGAAATTGAAAACCAAATTGTAAAATGAAGGTATAACTGTGTATTTGGAAACATCGTCCAATTGAAGGGCAGTGACAGATTGGCTAGTTTGGTCTACATTTTGTAATGCTGTTTTCATTGTTTAGTGAATGAACAAGAGCACTGCTCAGATTCATTTACAGTATATGCCAAATGCTTGGGGTTTATTTTTTAAATTATCCAGAGTATAGGGAAATAAACCTGAATTTCTAAATTTAAATAAAACAGCATATCTGGGAAAAAAAATCTCCAACTCAGATGTAGCCAGGGCGTTGTTTTGCAGTTTTGCAATTTGGATTAAATTTGATATTGGAGTTAGGTTAATAAGCCTGCCTGTGTTTCTGTATTCTGCCCAAGTAATGCCAGAGAACAGAATATGTTAACTGGAATTTTAGAACCTCCTTATGCAAGCCCTTTAAGACACGAGTGTCATACTTCAGTCTACAAGCTCAAGAAGTGGATAATGGGTGTTGTAGTCTAACAATATCTAGCGGCTATGGCTTAACAACCTTTTTTGACACTTTGACTAATATCTACTGTGTCCATGGGGTGACATGGTATTTTTGAACCCTGAGGTCAATGACTATATATAGGGAGCAAGTTCATCAGCAGCCCTTCATCCTGCACACATCTGGCTTTCTTCAGTGAATAGGCTCATTCACTGAACTCACACAGGATTATTTACTAAAGTGAGACTTTAAGGTGAATTCAAAGTGAATTTTAAATTGAATGTCAAAATAGCCGAACTGGAAAATCTTTTTAAGTCAGCTGTGCTTTAAGTACAGACACTCTGGCCTTACATTTAAAAATCTCTTTGAATTCACTTGGAATTCTCACTACATAGAATAACCCTCATAATGTCAGTTAGTAACCAAAATCCTTAAAGGTACACTATAGTCACCCAGACCACTTCAGCTCATTAAAGGGTTCTGGGTGCAGTGTCACTGTCCCACATATTTCTGCAATGTAACTCAGAAACTCAGAAACTGCAATGACTAACTTGCAGGACTATGACTGTTTCTAGTGGCTGTCAATCAGACACTTTCTGCGTGACGACATCCAGTGTCAGTGAAATCCCCATTGATTTTGAGGCAATAAGGGACATCACTCACAACGCTCTCAGCGAATGAATGAGCATTAGCCCCCCCGTTAGATGACGTCGGAGGAGGTGCTGGTATCGGGTAAGTGACTAAAGTGTTTTTAACCCTTTACATGCCGGGGGAAGAGGGCACTATAGTGTTAGGAAAACAGATTTGTATTCCTAACACTACAGTATCCCTTTAAGAGACAAGAGGATATAAGAAACAAAAGACAAGTATAAGAGAAAGTAAGGAGTCCACTGAATTATTTCGAGATCACTTCATTACATTTCCTAATTTCATGCTGTTTTTATTTGGTTTTCTGAGAATTAATAATTCTTGCATACACTCAAACCATCTTCATTATCACCCGTACATTGCCAAACCATGCTCAATCAGTGGGATTAATCACTTTGATAGATAATCCTATAATAATTAAATTGCCATCTTTAACACCTAGGACTAGAGAGAGATAACAACAATGATCACTGCTAAATATTTTCGAGGATCAAACTTGGGACCCATCATAGAACATCTGCCCTCAGGATCATGGTACCAGTGTTAATCTTAGTACACACATGATACCGGTTCTGCCCACGGTACCATACAAAAGAAAGTCATCAAGCTACAGGACAAAAAAACCCCGTAAATTTACATATTAGATAGAATGAATATTGAAATAATCTCGTATAACAATATTTATTGAATACAGTAGAAATATATAAACATTTTATTATCTTGTGTTTTAGGTTTTATACTGGGGAGTGAACTTAAGGCAAGCCCTGTACTTGTCTCCCATCAATTTGTTTTGACATTAAATTGACCTCATAAAGAAACGTTTATTGGTATGTTGTATAGATATATGAAAGTCATGCACAGTAGGTAGCAAAACCGAGTACTGTTTGTGAATATTAATTAAGCTCTAAGCATGTACCATTATTCATGTCTAGATTGATTAAGAGATGAAATACTATGTCAGTCCCCACTATGCCCCAACTGAGAACCCACTGTAAGGCTTGTTCTGCCTTGCTGACAACCAATGTGGGCTTCTCCATTCTAGCTAAGATTAAAAAAATATTGTATAGATAGTTATTCTGTGCACTGTTTATTGAAGGTTCTGCTTGTGACTATGAATAAGGTGTCATGTGGCGTGAAATACAATGTATCTTTAGGGGCCAATTCAGCGTGTTGGACTTTTTGTCAAGAATTGTTTTCATTTTTTCTTTTTTTCTTCTTCTTTTTATTTCTGTATTTATTAACCGATTGTGTGATGTTGAGTTTGTTATTTTAGTGCTGGGTGCAGGCCAGTGCTGGGTGTTCATTATAGTTATACAGATCACACCCAACTCTGAATGAGATTATAATTAGTGACACCATCAGAACAAAAAAAAGCAAATGTGCACACACTATGTAGATAAAGAAGTGTGATGCTGGACCCTAATCACCTTTATAATGTTCTTTCATAATCATGTATAGTCAATTTATCTTAAATACACTCTTCATACTTTAACCCCTTAAGGACCAAACTTCTGGAATAAAAGGGAATCATGACATGTCACACATGTCATGTGTCCTTAAGGGGTTAATGGTATATATGACAGTATACTCTTATTGCACACAGCTTGAATCCTCACCATGTATTAGTTTGATATAATATTATTAGTGTTTCTTATTCTAGTTCAATGTAAAAGACTCCAGCTGCTGTATCTCACATCACAGGATCAACTCAGCATCTTCATCCTTCCAGAGTCAATAAACCAAGTACCATTAAGTTGTGTAGTAATAATAACAATAGGCTCCAGGATATACTTGGAAACTGGCAAAAGTCATATAGTCATATTCTTAGCTAAATGTTTTGATATTATCGCTATTATTAGGACAAGTCTTTTGACAATTAAAGGTGTTCATGATGATGAACAAACCTAAAGGGACACTATAGGCATCAAAACAACGTCAGCTGAATGAAGCAGTTTTGGTGTATATATCATGTCCATGCATTCTCACTGCTTAATTATCTGTCATTTAGCAGTTTCATCACTTTTGTTTCTGTCTATGCAGCCCTAGCCACACATACACTGGCTGTGACTGACATACTGGCTGCATGAAAACAAAATGGTTTCATTTTCAATCAGATATTAACTTGCTTTAGAAGTTCTTATCTCCTGCTTTGTAAATTGAACTTTAATCACACACAGGAGGCTCCTGCAAGGTCTAGAAGGCTACTAACAGAGCAAGAGATAAACCGATCTAAATTAAACAGAATGCACAATAAAGGAAGTTTAAACATTAGATGACTC